GAATGGACCTCAACTTGCAGCGAAAGGCTAGACTTTCTCGTAAGAACCCAATTCCCTGGGTGTACTATGGAACCTAAGGCAGTTACACCAGGTCAAAAAAACTATATTTCACAACACTCAATAGAGAGAATCGTTATTATTATTAAGACCTTTAAACTTTAAAAATCTCCAGGAAGAAGGTCGAATTTTATGCCAACTGCTTGCTAACATTTTCAAGGCATGCCTTAACGTTTGACACATTTCTAGAGAATGGGCCAAGGCGAGGGTTGTCTTCATATCTAAAGCAGTGTCGCCGTTGAGAATTTTCAGAAAGTCGCAAAAACGGGGTCATTGACGAAAAAAAGGGTCACCATATTATTTTTGCTTTTCTTTACTAGTAAAAGAATAAATCTATTGAATTTATAAAGAAAATAGCGGGACCAGCTTTTCACAAAACAGGGTTGCAAACATACGAGAAGAGTTACATTTCCCATAAAAGTTTTAATTGATGCATTTTTTCGTACTTACAGGAGGAAATATTTTTTAATAGCTTGGTCCTGTTAACATTGTCTAATAATAATAATTTTGGAAAGGGGTAAAAAAATCTAAATTTTCAAAAAGTCGGCTCAAAGAGTATTGGCGCTTAAAAAGGGAAAAAATTTCCACTTTAGTCGCGCAACGGCAACACTGGTCTAAATGAGCAAAGGTCTCTGATGTCAAACCCAATGACTTCAGCCCAATAAACCTAATCTCCTTTCCACTTAGAATTCTAGAAAAACTTCTCGACACCTATATTCTACAACGCCTTTTGACGGTGGATGTGTCGGAATGTCAACATGATTAGTCTAAAGTAGAGATGTGGACGGGCCGGGCTTTTGGCAGGGGCCCGGCGGGCGCCTGCGTAAGCCCGCGGGTACGGGCCGGAATATTTGCTGTCAGCACGAACTCGTGCGTGCATGGGCGTTCAGTAAAATTTCATAAAAGCACGAATAAGCACGAAAAAGACTGTTGCTAATACTACAAATTTAAATAAGCTTTTCTTTTTATACAAAAAAATAGTACATATTAAAACTCTTTTGATAAGAGAAAAGCAAAAAAAGAAATATTTGGAAACCGATAGAAAAAATAAGATACTTAATACTTTTGTTTACATATCTGCACATAAAATACCTTCCACTTTTCCTACTTCCCAGAAAATATATTATAGAAATCGTTGATGTAAAAAATTGATTCGCTTAAGTAAATATACAAACATAAACACAAAATTAAAAATATGTACATATGTATACATACAATAAAAGTTGGCTCTTTATTTCCGGGCTGGAACGTGTCCCGTCGTGCCGGGGCGGGCCCCACTAAAATTCTTACGTGCGGGCTCGTGCGTGTTTTTGAAAGTTGATTTTGCACTCGTGCCGGGCCGGGCCTGAAAATTTAGGCCCGTGCCCATCTCTAGTCTAAAGGCAAATCTGTGGCCACTGCGCTACAGAAATTGTGTCCAAAATTTAAAAGGGACTTGCCTTTAATAAATTTACTTTAAGAATCTTAATTGACATAGAGGGCGCCTCACACAATATTGTTCGACCCATTCTTTTTTATGTGATCATAGTATGGTAGCCGGCTCTGGAAAAACCCACTTATAGAAGCATATTGGATAGGGTAAAAAGACTTACATCCATGTTAATCACGGGTACCATGCCCTCTAACCCCAGTAAAGCTCTCCAAACTGTATTAAATCATCTTCCTACCGACCTTTACGGTAGATATCAATCCAGTTGTAACGCGCCCAAATTTAATTGGACTTACACTAGGAGAGCCCTCAGGTTCCAAGGAGGGAAACTGACCTACGCTCAGTTAACGCCGCGGCTGAAATCTGTTTTCAAAAAATTTGCCAACGAACCATCGGCGTAGGAACCAACCCGTTCCGTTCTAAACATATCTGACTTAGAATTAATGAGGAAAGATCAAAACTCTTCTACGTACTGATTGTCCCATTATTAGCGCAGTAGTGGGTATCATAGAACACAGCGAACGGGCTACTCCGCTAACGATTTCTGTCATGGCTACAGGGACGAGGAGGAGATTAAGAGTGTAGAGCACTATTTCTGCCACTTCTCCGCTCTGGTAAGGTCAAGTTTTGTTGTTTTTAATAAATATCTTTTTCAGTGTTTAGCTGATCTCGATTGGGTAGACATCCGCGACCTTCAACGCTACGTTAAGGTAATACGCTGGTTTCACCACACGGGAAACTGAGGTAAAGAGAAAAGGCACGCTAATAGTGGCAGCACAATTGGCCTAACTGACATAAGTGTACCTCTTTGGCCGACTGCCAGAGTATGGCAACTTAACTTAACGGAACGTAGAACTTAGAGAATCGAAATGAAACAGATTTCGACGTGGCATTAAGTTACGTTAAGTTTCGGCTGTTCAATTATAAGCAACACCCATTTAACAGAATTTTTAATAGAGGGCCGTAAGTTACGTTAAGTTGCCATAATCAGACCATAAAAGTACCATCAAAGTCAGATTATGCATTCTCGCGATATGATGCATTCTCGCAGTTTGTTGCGGCTTCAAGTTCTATAAACATTTATTTAAGCTTTTAAAGTTGCGACATACAACAAAACGACACTTACGACACCGTTGTGAATCCCTCAATAGTATGTACATACTTAAGGTTGATTTTTATATCTCGAAGTTATACTCACCTTCATCAGCAACCGCAGATCCACAGTCACAAATTCTTTTACTGCTATTTTCATAGGATCTTGTTGTATTTCCATTGCGAATTCGAATAGCAAGTCGTTATAAACCTTTGCATTGGTATATTTATACTTACTATGTAGTAAACGTTGTATCAAAATACCCGTCTTAAGTGACTAATGAATTAATGAAAAAGAATATAGAAGTTAGTACATAAAAGCTGTGTTCAGAAATGCATCCGGCCCCCCAGGCATCAGTCTCTTTTATTTCTAAACTATAATTGATGGAAATGCCTTATTTACCAAACTAAGTTCTAATTCGGCACTTGACTGTGGTTGCGCATATTGGACATTTCCATCAATTATAGTTTAGAGATAAAAAAAAAAACTGGCTGATGCTTTCCCTTGATGCATTTCTGAACACAGGGCTATGTCTACTTGTTTTTGCAATACAAGTTTTCGCAACTCACCTGCCGCTTGCAGTTCTCACCCGCTTGGCATAAAAGCGTGGTAATAGCGATCAGCGGGAGCACAGTCGACGCTGTTAAGTAGAGGAAATAATATTCGAATACATTTGATAAAGTCAGAAAGATCCAATACGAATTAACGCAAATATCTAGAAAAATCACCGTAAACAATGCACAAACCGACCAACCGAATAAATCATCAAACATTAGCGTCAACTTGCGTATTTCGTCGAAAAGCAATTTTAATTGTAACAAATAATCGAAGGATTCCAACATTTTATAATTCACATCCAAACATAAACGCTGCTTGCTCACGCGACAGCTGGCCACTGAACGCAGCTTCATATTCAAATGTTGCATATAGAAATCAATATAGTCCAAATAGATAATGGCCAAAAGGCAGCGGGTACGCAAAACAAAAATACTGCCCAGTGCATACCAAAAGTATCCGTAGTAGTATTTAATCGAAATCACCACCATCGATATCGGAAGAGAGCCATAGGCGAAACCCGAATATAGCAAATATTTAGTACGCTGCAGTCGCCGCAATCTCCAACGACATAGACCGGTTTGCAAGCGCTGCCTGAAGAGTCGTACAATGAGTTGGGATTGTTGCATGAATGCGAAATATTGCCTATAGGTGTACATCGCTTCCAACAAGCAAATGGTGAGTGCTAAACTTTGACTGAGAAAAACCATTACGCTGACAAAATTCGATACAAGCACTTCGTCGTCCAGCGGCTGGTTGTATACCCCATAGATGGTTAAAACCCAATTCGCCACAAGCAATGCTGATGTGTAGATGCGCTGCCATTGCTCATAATGTTGTTTGCAGTTGCGGTTGCGTTGGGCGTATGGCACCAGGCCAACGATGGCCAACCACTTGAATAACGGTTGCCATTCGTGCAACATGTTGGCGATGGCAGAGTGACTGCCGCTGGGAAAGTGGACGTGAAACATTTCAAGGATGTGGCAGGTGAAAATAGTTGTGTATCTGTAAACATCACCCACACACTTATCGATACAACAAATTACACTATCGCACAGGAAAGTATCAGATAGCGTTCGTTCTTATTGATGTGCAGCACTTAGTTTAATTCGCCGAGTTAATGGTGTGTAAAAAGGTATAAGTACATACATATATGGTACATATGTATGCATTAATTAATGTATATACTCCATGCTTTATTATACACTCACATTCATGACTTAGACATGTGTGGATGAATGATATTTAATTTAATAGCAAATTTAAAAAATTAGTTTTAAATTGCCATTGGTTTGAGTTCAAAAAAGTACCATATTGGGCGGCAGTGTGGGTGTGGGCAGTACTGTCGCCAACAGGAAATAAAGTGAAGTGCTTCCACTCTTTTTTGAAGTGTTCATAAAATTTTAAGTTTCTTCATTACATGTGTGTTCTTAGTTGTCGATAACAAAATCGGTATTATATCGATAAAAATATCGATAGATAAGAGTATCGATAAATATGTTCATAAATATATTAATAACAAAATCGATAAATATGTTCACAAATTTATCAATAAGAATATCGTTTCTTCATATCGATAAAAATAACGATAATCAAATCGATAAAAATCAATAAAAAAAATCAATAAAAAATCGATAGCAAAATCTATAAAAATATCGATAACAAAATCTATTAAAATGTCGTTAAAAGCATTGATTAAATTGTCGATAAAAAAATCGGTTATTATATCGATAGATAATGGTATCAATAAGTATGTTCTTAAATATATCAATAACAAAATCGATAAATATGTTCACAAATCTATCAATAACAAAATCTTTTTTTCATATCGATAAATATATCGATAAAAATGTCGATAACAATATCGATATTATACCCGTGTTTTAACGCTAACTATTTTTTATAGGTCCCCCCATTGCATTTTTCGAGGATTTTCCTCTTATTTGGCGCTATAACCGCCTAAGGACCTAAACATACTTAGTAGAGCGGCTAGCAAAGCGAAGAGCTGGCATCAAGCAAAGCTTCAATTGCAAAGCTTCTTCCTCCGCTACCGCCAGCGGATTCCGAGTTGAATACTTTCAGAGCTGGATCGTCGGTGTACATACGACATGGCCAAGCCAGCTGAGCGTCTGTATTTTAATTCGATGCACTATGTCCATAACGTTGTAAAGCTCGCCGCCCCGAATACTCCAAGAGCCGCGTTTATTATTTTTCGACGCATGTATGTATACAATTGATTGTTAGACAATTTTTTTCAATCAGCATATTTTATTTAGTTGCAATCACAATCTAATAAATAATTACCATAGGCAATAAGTACGTAGTATATGTGAGTCCCCATAAAAAAGTCACCGTCAAAAGTTCCCCTAATGTAGATATTTGCAAAAATTCACCAGATCATCATATTTTTATTTTGATGGCCGATCTTTTGACATTTTTCTAGTAAAACTATAATACCGTCAATGTAAAACGTCTGGGATTTATGTGAAAAAATGAATCAAGTATTTATTACAATACGCATTTGAGGCCAACTTTACATCATCGAGGAAGCACCGCAAAGACGGAATGTAGTCGTATGGGGGAAGCTCTCTTAATTATTGCGGCAAAGCATTTCCGGTTAATTAAATCTTGCCGCTTATTTTTAGTCATCTGCCACAGCCGCAGCAAGAAAGAATCGATTCAATGGCCAGGTTTGAGGCTTGAGCAGTTTCTGATTAAAAAAGAAATTATTTACAGTACCAGAAAGCACTGACCCCTAACTAACTTGTCGTGAATAGGATTTTTAACTGTTTGCGCAAATTCCCCAAGCTATATGAGGTGATCCACTTTAAAACGCACCGACCTTATCGCTTCTTTTCATCAGCGATTTACTTGTGGAAACTTCTTATTCTTTTTTAGGGCAACAACTATTTTTCCGTTTAGGTGAAGACTAAAAATCTTTGCGAATTCCCGCGCTCTTTTGGAAAGTTCTGCCAGTTATTATTTGGCTGGGCCTTCGACACTTGGTGTTTCCATTGTGTTCACAGGCTCACTTGCTTTCTCTGCCCACCCACGAGCGACGAATCGGCGGATCTTTGCAACGTCATCATCTATGCGTACCACCTGCCTAAGTCATGCTGTTATAGAGCTCACACAGTTCCTTATTCCATTTTCTTCGGAACCCGCCGCCTACGCGAACAAGGCTATAAATATTGCGTAGCATACTTCTCTCGAAAGCCCTCAAAGCTGTCTCATCTTTGTTTGGCATCGTTCTCTGTGCCCTTATTAGGCCCCTAATGTACTTTGCTTTTTATTAGTCTATCAAGTCCAAAATGGTAGTTATTGGCATGAATGATCCTTCGCTTGATCTCCAGACTGACGTTATTGGTGGTGTTAATGCTGCATCCCGGAAAGACGAAGCCTTTCACCACTTCAAGCCTTTTCACTTCTTTTTTTTGTTGCCAGAAGATACTTTTAGTCTAATTTAAGTTCCCAGCTAGGCCAAACCTCCCTGTCCTCTTTTTCTTAGCTGGAAAAAGTTGCGCTTAAATCAGTGGCATGTTTCAATCGTCTTTTCTACAAACTATTATATGGAATGACTTAAAAGGTATTTTTCAATTTAGAAGTATCTATTAGCTGTGCTCCACGCCACTCTACGTAACCAATTAAATGTTGGCTTCTCTTCGTACATACTATCGAAAGTGGCTTTATAATCGACGAAAAGGTGGAGTGTTTCGAGTGGCTTATCTAAGGTATCTTACGTGTGAGGAGTATATATATTTTTTTTTTTTTGTTTTATATTTAAGTAAAAAATCTCTTTTAATTAGTTATGAGAGAAAAAAACATTCGCGAATGTCTAAACAAATTTAAACGCTTTCTGAAAACAAATTTCAAACGAAAGGGGACTTAAACAATCGAAGTACGTATTAAAAACATCTCGAAATCTCTTATCATTAAAATCACTACGGAAACAGTGTGTATGCACGTATATTAGGGTGCATCACCACAAAACGTTGACATTTTTTCCACCAGAATTATAAAATTTATAATACGTGTTTTTTCGTATTCGCCAATATATTTCACTGGCAAAGTCTACAGTAGGTGTCCAAATTTTCCAAAAAAAATCCGGGCAGCCATTCTTAAAGTTTGCGAACAAAAAACAAATACTTTCAAAATATATGTATGTATATTAGTATAGATCATTCGCCTAGCAACGAAATATTTGAATATTGTCCAAAATATTCATAAGTAAGTATATAGATTTTAATAATTATTTAGTCATCTTTCAACCAAATCAAATATTTCGTTGTTTACTTCCATTTTTTACCAAATGTAAGATTCTTTGCTTTCACCGCGTTCTGTTTTTTTTAACAAATGCAACCTTGCACATGGATTGATACTTTTCATGAATTTGCAGGAAGAAAAACTCCGGACTAAATCCTTCAACTTCAGATTTTGAAGAATTGCTTACTTACTCTCTCAGAAGTGTTCAGAGTTCAGGTTTTTTGTCTATAGGAACGACTTCCTGTAAGTTCTGACTAAATCCTGTAAACCGAACTCGTATTGCAACAGACTAATAGCTCAGTTATGCATACTTGGCGTTGAATGAAAGTTGTCACATCAAGGAATCTGTTGAATGAGCTTTGCATGTAAGCGGTTACCCAACGCGTAGCATTTCACATGTAGAATCCTGTTGGGTATTGATTTTTACGTAAAAATGGTATAGCAGTGCAAAGTATGTATAACTGGGCTGTAATACAGAAAACTCTATTGTAAAATCGTGACGTCTCAGCTTTCTTCAGCAACAAAAAAAAGTATAGAATTTGTTTAGCGAAAAACTTTTCACACAGAAATTTCAAAAAAGGACTTGTCAAAGAATCGAAATCGGTTCAGCTGTTTAGTCAGGCATGGCGGTCATACGAAAGACACTAATTTCTATTTTTACCTATACATATTCATGACAGATGAGAGAACCAAGATTTCAACAAAACTTTTTTAAATTTTTCATTATGTTTTTATTAGAAAATGATGGAAAGTAATAACAATCAACCAAAATACAAATGTAAAGTGCATGTTAAAATAATATCACCATTGATTTGTGTCCATTTAATTTCATTGAGCATAAGTATTAAATTAAGTTTGTGTTTTTTGTAAAAGAATAGGACAGTCTCTAGCAAAACTCATAAAAACCAAAATTCTAAACTTTGTGGAAAATTTAAAAAACTTCTCAAAATTTTCATTACATTTTGAAACATTTAGAACGAACAAATAATAATAACAATTTTCAATGCATTTAGAAATCTAGAAGAAAATGGTTCCTATTCGAATGATGATTACCCCCTTTCCAATAACTACCAATTTTCGCTTTAAGTACTTTATTGACAAAATATGTAGATGTGCCAAAATTTAGGACTTTATTATAAGCGGTTCCAGAGATAAGCGATGAGAAGTTCAGTTTGTAACGGAGGTCCTACACGCCCTTTTCCAATACCTGGCACTTTTCACCACAAGTACGCTCCTGATGACATATTCAGCTGTTTCAGATTTCAAGCTGTTAGCATAAGCGGTTCCAGAGATAGGCGATATGAGAAGTTCAGTCTGTATGGGAGGTGCCACGTACCCTTTTCAAATGCCTACGTACCAATTTTCACCATAAGTAGGGTATTTACAATTTATGCAGCCGTGCCAAGTTTCAGTTCCCAGCGTAGTTGGTTTAGAAGATACATTGATGCATTCAAAAAAAGCGTTTCAACTTTTTATTGTGACGTATGTATACGTAAAGAGTAATGTGGCTACTCTGAACTTTTCACAAAAGCTCTGGCAACCTTTCAAGCTAGCAAACTCCTTTTCATCTATTTTCATCTATCTTCATTTTTGACATTCTTAATTGCTTTGCGTTTTTTCCTTCTTTTCTGGAGGGCATCCTAAGCGATAACACGTAATT